CGCTCTCCGTCCAATTCAGCTCCTGCCGCGGCAACAACAGTAACACATTCTACTGCACCAGTCAACCATCCTCCTCAACCTCCAAATCATCCAAATCCAGTACCAAACCCTCCACCGATTGCGGCAAAATCAAGCTCCAAAGCCATCACATTCCGGATTCCCTCCATCACGTCGGGCATCCCTCCTGCCAATATCCGACCCTGGACAGATGCTGAAGATCAAGAACTCTGCAACATGAAGTATGACACCAAATCCCGTCCGTCATGGAAGACGATCGGTCTCAGACTTCGTCGTGATCCAGAGGTTTGTCGAATCCGCTGGGGCCTTCTAAAACAGATGCCCGAACATGCGGTTCGTCATGAACCGGAGGCAGAGGACTAATCGCCCAGTCATAAAAGACGGCTATTGCTTTACCGTCTCATTGTTGTTGTTGATGGTCATCTTTCTTCGGTTGCCGTGTGTGTTTTCACCTCTTTTTTGTTTTAATTTTCAGCATGGCTCATCAGCGTAGCTATATCTCCATGACTCCCGATCGGTCCCGTTCTCGTGATGATCCTCCAATTCGAAACCTGATGACTGAACGCTTCAGTGGCGTGATGCAAGCAACAACCTGTGAACACCTTCCCAACCTTTCTCCGAGTGAAGAAATGGCACTGTTCACTTACAGCTTCCTACTGACCCCTGGTCAAATTCAAATCACGTCAATCGAGAATATTCTCTTCTACATCAGCCAGCATATCAACAACACTTGGGGAACATATCTTGAACCAACCTCCATGGATCTTCGATGGAGCGATTGAACTGGCGACACTTTTGCTCTTCGTCCTCAGCAACTCATCATCCGCCTTCTACGTGAACATCGCCCGCATTGGACTGAGGCTCAGGAAGTAGGTATCTTCAATCGGTTAGTTGACTTCACTAGCCATATATCATGCGTCTCAGCTGCCATATAAGGCTCTACCAAATCCAGACATGCTACCGTGATCGCTCAGGAATAAAACATGTGTGCGGTATCAATCTCTTTCGTTGATTGTCTTTTTCCTTGACAGTGTTGGCTTTTGACTTCTCCATACTAATTTTCTCTGATCCTCGCCACTATCTCGTATGTGTTTCATGCCTCCGAAGCTGCGTCCTCGTCAGCTGCTGATCCCTCTACAAGACAAGCACTTCGTGTGCCAGGCACATCTACGACACCAGGATCTCACCCCCTCCATTTGGCTACTCGTCATCGGCGCCAGCCATTCCAATGCCAACTGCCAGTCAAAACTGGCACTGGCACCACCAAGAAGCATATCCGCTTCAATCCGAGATGTCTCAACATCACCGAGTACTTCATACACATATATTCAAAGAAGTCACTTCGTACCAATCCGGCACTCCAGTGCGAAGATTGATGATCACGGAGGTTGACAACCAAGGAACGGAACGCAATCGTCAACCGAAATTTTTCTTCAATGGAATGATTGGTCATGTACGACCATGGGGAGGCGGCTGTGTAAACAGTTGGGCTGAAGCCACCCGCCTATCAAATTACTGGCGCCGGTTTTACAATATTGACCAGGTTTATGAGGACCAATCCACCTGGTATTTGCAAGAGGATCAGACTGCCTGGCATCCTCAAGACCATCAATACCCTGGATCGCCTGACAATGCTGCCTTAGGTGGTGAGGATGCAGAAATCTCAGACCTGGCAGACGACACCTCGTTGACAGTTGAAACAGGCCAACTGTCCGTTCCAAGCCAGATCAACCAACTGGCTACTGTCCTCTACAACGTGTTGATCGCGGATCGTGACTTCAATGCTCCGATCCTTGAGAAGGTTGAAACCGCCCCAGCGGATCCAAATGCCAATCCCATTCAGGTATGGTCAGCATCAGACCTCTCAAGCCATCTCGCCATTACGACAAACACTCTGGCCCAACACGTTCAAGCGGGCAACCTCGAGGACATCTCTGACATTTCGGACTAGATCCTGGCCATTCTCGCCCTTCGCTTCTGAGTCTTTGATGTACTCAAATTTCGGTAATTCATTTTGTCTCTGGCATTTTGATACTCTATCCGTGACCAGTAGACCATATCAGAGCTTTGTTTCACGAGATTGGTGCGTCTTCCAAAAAAGCCCTGCGGCAGCAGGGCGTGTGTGTGAACCATCCGAAGAGATGTAAAACTTCTAATTTTGCTGTTTTCAATTCTCAGAGGCACTCAACGAAGCTACCACAATCATGGGATACTGGGTCTGATCAACCCAGCGTACCTGCAATTTCAATCTCAGTTCTGCAGTTTCTCGTTGATGGCATCCGGCCAAGCCAAGAACCGGCATGTCGTTTTTTTCAAACAATTTTCAATCCAAACTTGATGTCAGGGAGGTAATGACTTGGTTCAGATGGAAATGTTGCATCTAGCAGTGGCTTTGAAATACTTTCTTCTCGATCCTTCTCGGATCTGATCTTCAACCTTTTCCTGTCAGGTATAACTGGATTGTTTTTGCACGTAGGCTGCATTCCACATCAGAATTCGCGAAGATTGTTCTGAGCAAGTGTGTGTGTGTGTGTGTTTCTGTCTTATCACAACTTTTGTGGAAGAGCGTGGCCATTATGATTTGAATCACGCTGCGTGCAATGGCATTCCTGCATCCCTGACCTTCTGCACCAAAGCTAGAATGTGTAGCTTCGCAGCATCCAAATGGTGAGTGCCTCAGGCAGAAATGGTACAGAATTGCTGCATGGCTGAAAAACTTCGATCATGTCACATGAAAAACGCATAATAGATGCAGCCGGATGTAGTCACAGTCTGACACTTTTCAACACAGATACTGCCTATGCATAGGTGAAACGACCGGAAGCAAAAAAACACACGTGGAACCTGAGTCCGCAACAGATCCAGTAAGATATTACAAGTTTATAGATGATTGCCACCTTGAAGCTGCGAAACTATATCTCGGCAAGTTGGGCGGGCAGCTCGCACGGGCAAGCCAGTGATTGGATAATTTGGAGTTAAAATTGGATATGATAATCTCATCATGAGCAGTTGACTCAGAACATCTCAATCAAACAGTCATCCTAATTTCCAAACCAACTGATCCTTCGACTAATCCGCATACATTTCGACTTCCGTCTGAAGCTGTTTCTTGACTCTGAGCGCTGCGCAATTTGTAGCGACCAGGCGGCGGATGACCTCTTGAGCCCCGCGTGCTGCAGTGGCAGCTGAGACGCGAATCAAATTCTGAGTGCTGCACATTTCGGTCATTCTGACTGCTTTTACACACGCAGACTTTTACACACAAACACTTTTACACACAGACACTTTTACACACAGACGCTTTTACACACAGACACTTTTACACACAGACACTTTTACACACAGACACTTTTACACACAGACACTTTTACACACAGCTTTTACACACGCAGACTTTTACACACAAACACTTTTACACACAGACACTTTTACACACAGACGCTTTTACACACAGACACTTTTACACACAGACACTTTTACACACAGACACTTTTACACACAGACACTTTTACACACAGACACTTTTACACACAGACCATTTTACACACAGGACACTTTTACACAAAAACTCTTTTTACACACAACACTTTTTACACACACGATAAGCTTTAACACACCGACAAGACACTTTACACACAGACCAAGGCTTTTATTTACACACAGACCTTTTACAACAACCTTTTACCCACAGCGCATTACACCAAACCACTTTTACACACGACGCTTTACACACAGACACTTTTCCATTTCCACAAGACGCTTTTACAACACGACGCTTTTACCACAGACGCTGTACACACAGACGCTTTTACACCCGGACGCTTTTTTACACACAACTACTTTTACACACAGACCAACGCTTTTACACACATACGCTTTTACACACACCCACCCTTTTTACACACAACGCTTTTACACACACGACCTTTACACCACAGACCGTTTACACACAGAACGCTTTTACACACAGACACTTTTACACGCAGACGCTTTTACACACAGACGCTTTTACACACAGAGGCTTTTACACACAAACACTTTTACACACAAACACTTTTACACACAGACGCTTTTACACACAGACGCTTTTACACACAGACACTTTTACACACAGACGCTTTTACACACAGACACTTTTACACACAGACACTTTTACCTACAGAACCTTTTGCACACAGACGCTTTTACACAGAAGCTTATACACACAGACACTTTTACACACTTACACTTTGACACACAGAGGCTTTTACACACAGAAGCTTTCACACACAGAAGCTTTTACAGACAGAAGCTTCCGCGCACAGAAGCTTTTACACACAAACACTTTCACACACAGAGACCGAACCCATGACATCGCAATTTTACCTCAATTTTTGGCGATCGAACCTCATTTCGTGCAAAAGGGTTGTGCCCGGACACGAGAAATCCCATTTTTACGTCAGTTTTTGGCGATCGAGCCTCATTTCGTACGAAAGGGTTCGCCGGACACTTTGCCAATCGCAATTTTACCTCAGTTTTTGGCGATCGAACCTCATTTCGTGCGAAAGGGTTGCATTTCGTGGCGTCTCGTTGGCACTGCCCCGCGCCTTCAAGAGAGAAATAGAAAAGAAGGAGGGAGCAAGAGGGCAAGAGAGCAAGAGGGCAAGAGAGCAAGAGAGAATGTGAAGATGTGAAGATGAGAAGATGCACAGGTGTGAAGATGTGAGGATGTGAAGATGAGAAGATGGGAAGATATGTGAAGATGAGAAGGTGTGAAGATGAGAAGATGTTTCACAGACCCCCACTATTAGAAGAACCCTGCGCTCAGACGCTCCCGGGAAAAAACTTGCATAAAATTTCGTAAATATATAAGCAATATTAAGCAATATTAAGTAATGATTTTGAGAAGGCCCGTTCTTTGGAACCAAGGCGTCCTGATTTGATGGGATTCCCAGGATACAACATCAACCTGAATCAGCCCTTTATCAGACCTGCTCATCACTTTTTACTCAGGCCTTGCGGAGCAGAAGTGACTTGATTGTAAACATTGCGTCGATGAATCCGCACCAGGAGATGAGGTTCTAGCGACCTTTTCCAGTTTCAGAGTTGGAGTTCAATCTCCTCAAATACCAACATTACTGTGGTCCAGTGTGGTTGCGGCGCGACCTGAACCCAGCTTCGTCTGAAGGATCTGATCCAGAACGAAGGTGAGAAAGGGAGCTGCGGCTCTCTTTGACCACAAACGAACTAGTGCTCCATAGCATTCCAACGTCAGTAGAATTATTGAGAACAGCAATCTATTACATGCCATGACTTACTCGAGACCGTCTTACATGCTTCAGGTCAGTCTTCTCTGATTTGATTGGAACATGTTTGATATCATTGAGCTCAAAAGACTTCTTTCACCCATGCTTCGCTGTCGTCGCTGTCGGTTTGAATTTTCAACAGTGACCATACTACACCTGTGTGCGCCTTGTGCAAGTACCACATCATCCAAAGTGGAAGTAACGCGCAAGTGCAGCAAATCGCAAAGCATGTGCTGTCAAACAGCACATAAATTGACAGGACTGAAGATATCAGAAGACATTGTAAGCTCCTGTTGAACCACCAAAAAGCATCAACTGCACCCCATGTATTCAGTGATTCAAGGCAACTCAGGACATTTCTGGGATTCAACTTGTTGATTGACAGAAGCACTCTTGAAGCCGTCATCAATGATACGAGGGAGAACACAAAACTCAGAAAGCTGCAGGTGACGTAGACCATACGAAGCCAATATCTTTTGTCGAGATGTGGTGCAGCAAGTTGAAAGCCAGCCACTGTGATTGTCGTCACCAGCGCAGCCAGAATCCCAACCACTTCAGCATCCTTGACAACTATATCCTGCAAATGGGCTGGGTAAACGGGTAAACCTCCTGAATTCTGTTCTTGGCTCCGCACAGTCACCTTTCTTTGGTTATTTTTTCAACAAGGTCCATTCCATACTCATGTTACAAGTCATAAACAAGTACCGTTTGGAGTCATCCCTGCCCTGAAGGTTTATTTGGAAGAAGCATGAAGAAGCAAAATCTGACACACACACACACACTCTGACATACCTGACATTTATTTTCTCTGGCTAATCCTGAAGCATTCCAGAATGAAATTCTGCATATATTTATACCGGGCTGCATTCGGACAATTTACCTGACATGTGACCTGACCTGCATGCAGTATACTGATAGCAAATTGCCTGGCATATAGTTGCATCCTAACACATGAGGTCCAGATTGGGGCACTAGACTTCAAAAGTCTAAATATCCACGCCAAGCAGCTTTGGAATCAGTCAGATGCAGTCGTTTATAAGCAATCAACAAGAATCTCAAATGAATAGCGGCCATCCAAGCAAAGGAATCACAGTCAGGGAACATAAGCACCCCCCTTCATGAAATGGCTGTCCGCACTGCTAGGCCAATGCGTAAGAGCAAACATTGACTAGTCACTAGATGTCGTCTGCACATTCATCCGCCCGTCCCTTATGGTCGTCATTCCAAAATGCATCGATCCGATCCAATGGTCACTGGGAGTCGGGGCCACTCCTTGAGCTTCTGCTTGTCTCCATCATTTTCCTCCAATACTCTCCTCCAATATGCATCCATTCGCCAACTTCGCCAACGTGCCATCATCGTGCGTTCACTGATGTTTGTGCCGTGACGTGACTAGCAGAACTTGGTGGCTCAACACTGATTAACAGTTGCAAGATTGTGAATGCCAAATTCTTTTTGTGGGTCTTTGTATCCCATCATCAACGCAAAAATACTGTTTTACGGGTCCAAGATAGTAGTTGCAATGTGTCGATATTGATCGTCCATTTTCCAAACAAGCTGCAACGCCGGCATCAAAATGGCATTGGCAGAACTAGAGGTATGTACGGTATATCAAAGAAGGTTGCAACATGCTCCACTGGGCAACAGAACCCCTTGTAGCATGAGAAGGGGTACTCGGCCAAACGGAACAGAAATTCATCTGCAATCAACTGGCACTGGGTGAATGGTGGTGATATATTGTCACGGTATCTCACTGTCCGGAACCGTGGAAACTGAAGGCCCTGACAAGTCCACAAGGTTCAACGAAGCACCTCTGAGTCACTGCTGCTGAACCAATGCGTCATAGCGTGATGCGTGTGCGATATGTCACGTCAAAGAAAGGATTCAGTGACTGTGGTCAGAACTTCATAGAACTTCAATGTCTGATGCAAAGCATGGCCGCTTCCATGACTTCCATGTTCAAAAACTGTCAAGCGGGGAAAAACATGACGATCCATAGTCCTAATATGTCCACATCATAGCCATACCACGCCAATCCCCCACCTAGAATGAAGACTATGTCCCACTGGGGGTAGATGAGCCACGCCCAGGTGAGTAAGCCGCAGGCCTATGCATGCGGAGGCGATCACATGCTGCCTTTATATGCCATCGTGAAGTGAATAATTATACAAATTGTACAGGTGAAAAATAAAAAGAA